TGCAAGTCCTGGTCCAGCCACACCTCAAACTGGAATCCAGACTGAGACAGAAGGGGAGGACTCAGATGCTGAATCTCCAACAGACAGCTTGGGGTTGCCTACCTCAGGTCTTGGTCCAAGGGTGAGAAAACCTCCAGCTCGACTGTCAATATATGATTGCACACACTATACTGATGCAGACTGGTGGGCCATGGTAGTCACTACCACTGATCCATTAACCTATGAGGAAGCTGCTGAAGATGAGAAGTGGAATGCAGCAATGAGAGAAGAAATGCATTCCATCGAGAAGAATCAGACATGGACCCTAGTCACATTGCCTCCAAATGTTACTCCAATTGGCCTAAAATGGATCTACAAGACCAAACTGAAGGAGGACAGCTGTGTTGATAAGTTCAAAGCAAGACTAGTGGCCAAGGGATATTCACAGAAGGCTGGGATTGATTACAATGAAGTGTTTGCTCCAGTTGCAAGATGGGACACAATCAGAACACTTTTGGCTCTGGCAGCACATCATGGACTCACTGTCTATCAGCTGGATGTCAAGAGTGCATTCCTATATGGCACACTTACAGAAGATGTTTATGTTGAGCAACCACAGGGATTTGTGGTTGCTGGGGAGGAAGATAAAGTGTATAAGCTAAACAAGGCATTGTATGGCTTGAAGCAAGCTCCCAGGGCTTGGTACAGTAGGATTGAATCCTACTTTCTGAATGCAGGATTTGAGAGAAGTACATATGAACATACATTGTTCATACAGAAGAAAGGAGGGAAGATTCTACTGGTTAGCTTGTATGTGGATGACATAATCTACACCAGCAACAGTGAAGACATGATCACTGAGTTCAAGAACTCAATGAAACAGGAATTTGAGATGACTGATCTTGGTCGAATGAAATACTTCCTGGGAGTGGAGATCAATCAAACTGAAGAAGGAATCTTTATCTCACAGCAGAAGTATACAAGAGAAATGCTGGAGAAGTTCAAGCTGCTGGAGTGTAATCATGTCAAGAGTCCTATTGCTACTGGTGTGAAACTGACAAAAGAAGGAGATAGAGTTCCTGCAAATCCATCTGAGTACAAGCAGTTGATTGGGAGTCTGCTTTATGCCACTGCAACTCGACCTGACATTATGTTTTCAGTATGCCTGCTGAGTCGATTCATGGAGCAACCAACAAGGCAGCACATGTTAGCTGCTAAAAGAATACTCAGATATCTGAAAGGTACACAGGGATATGGAATTTGGTACCAGAAGGGTCAGGATGAAGGCTGTCTAGTAGGGTATACTGACAGTGACTATGCAGGAGATTTGAATGATCGAAAAAGCACCAGTGGATATGCTTTCTTCTTGGCTGGAGGGGTAGTTTCATGGGCTTCTAAGAAGCAACCAGTGGTCACTCTTTCAACCACTGAAGCAGAATTTGTGGCTGCTTCTTATGCAGCTGCTCAATGTGTCTGGTTGAGAAGAATACTGGAGCAGATGGGTTGGGAATCCAGTGTTAAGAAGGCTACAAGAGTCTACTGTGATAATAGCTCCACCATCAAACTAGCCAGGAATCCCATTCTTCATGGCAGGAGCAAGCACATAGACGTGCGTTTTCATTTTCTGCGAGAGCTGGTCAAGGATGAAGTGATTGAATTGATGCACTGTGGTTCTGAGGAGCAAGCAGCTGATATATTAACTAAGGCACTGAAGTTGGAGACTTTCGAGTTTCTAAGAGCCAAGTTGGGAGTACTGGAATTTGCAGCAAGGGGAGGTATCAAGAAGAACAAGGAAGAGGTGAACTGAAGCGTGGAGACTGGCTTCAGTTCAGGGGAGGATATGTGAACTGAAGTCAGGGCAGCAGCTGGAATCCAAATCCGAGAAGGAGAAGGATTAGAACTGCAGCGGGAAAGCTTTTAGTTTGAATAAGGAAACCAAAACTGTGTCGTTTGGTTTAAGAGTCTGTCTGTTGCGTTTTATGGTCTTTTTCAGTTTGGTCCTTAGTGTCTTGTTAGAGTCATTCGAGTCCTGCACAGGGTTTGAGTTTGTTGCAGGTTGTTAGGTTTAACAGCTGATTAGTAGGGCTGTTAAGGGATTCATGGGGCACAAATCAAGGGGTTGGGAGTTAGTAGTGTGGCCGTTGTCAAAGGCTGAGTCTCTGTATTTAAACTGCATTATCTCTGATCAATAAGACTTGTCAGTTTGCCCCATAAGAGTTTACATATATGTCCTTAATTTCCAATAATTACTTTCGGATCAATCTTTTCTTACACAAACAAGAGGCTTATCGTTTTCCCTTTATACTTTTTCACTAATTTTTACACCGATTAATCAATTACCAGTCATCAAAATTGACTTATTTCTGGCTGCTGGTCACGAACGGCTGCCTCTTTTAATTGCTTTCCGGCTAGCTTAGCTGGTACTTGATTAATTTATTTAATTTTTTTCTGATCAGTTAATTAATTCATAAGTGTTGCACATTAAAATCCAAAGTAAGGATATAGTATCATGTTCTCTATTAATGAGGATGTAATCTTGTTTCCACTTTACAAATTACAATTCTTGCCTATGTTTTGTTTGTTTGTTTTTTTTTTTTTTTTTGTCTTTAAATTTACGAACTAGCAATCGACTCCTACGAGCAAATAAGTATCTCCTATTTTTAATACTTTTGGATCTTATAATCTTTGAAACTAATCTTAATAAGCAAATCAAATAAAATCTTCAGCCATCACTTAAGGTGAGCACGATGGTTCTTTCAAATACTTTGCGGCTAGTGCGTAATTAAGTTATTTTAATTAATTAGGTTTAGATGTGTAGCTTTCATTCTGTGAATCAAATCCTGGAAATTCTTCTTCCTCAAAAAGCACTTGTTTATCGGTAAGTTATTTACTTTTGTCTCCTGGATCACTAACATATATATCCTCCCACCTTTCTCACTTCTTCTTTTTCAGTGGGAGGAAAACTAACTACACCATTTTGGAGAAGATTTCATGATAATTTATTATTAATATTCATTTAATAAAATTTTAATATTATAAAATTTTAATTAGTTAATGGTTGGGATTCTACCCGTTAGTTGCAGAAAACATGGAGTAGATTCCGAATCAAAAAGCTTAAAGGAGGCCTGCTAGTGCTATTAGCTAGCTTGCTCACAAATGAAAGATTGTAAATGGTGTATGTCTATGGAGTACCTCAACTTAACGAATACTATCATACAAAATTTATGGGTAAATGGTTTTCGTGAGACTATAAACATGTACTATCTAAAATTTATGGGGCAAGTTGGGACGGGTATCTCAATTCTTATATCGGCTTCTTGATAGGTTGAGTATTCTACTTTATTAGCGGGTCATGACAGGTTGATTTTTATGAGTGTGTATTTTAAATAAAATACTAAGAACATTGATTTTTATTCAACATTTGAGAAACAAACTTTCACATTATAAATGTTAAATTATTGGAGAAGTTGAAGCGATTAGCTATTTGCAACGTTTTATATCTAAAATATTACGTGATAAAAAAATTCTACTTAGTTTGAGTAAAATACATATAATTTAGAAAATCGGGTCGATAATGAGGTAGGTGAGATCGGGAAAAGTATTCATGCCCTCCCCCGCCTACGAGACGAGTATTTCGTGCAACGCAACTCTTCCTAGGCATATTAGAGTTTATGAACCTATTTGACTTCATAGCTTGTTGAGTATGAAATCGCTCCCAAAAATTTCCAGTTGTTGAAATTCTATCTTTATATACATTCTCTCAAATAATTCGTGTATTCCACACTTTGAAGATGATGGAGATATATATTTTATGAGATGGGAATATAACTCATTCCTAACCGGAGGCAATACATGGTTGCACGACCTTTTCCTATTTCGATCAAAACCATCCTTGACTATCTCACTCTCCTTCCCTTCATTTTCTTGAATTATTGGCCTCTCTTTCTCCAAAGATCCTTTATTCTTCTTCATGGGAGAGTGACAAGTCTCCACTACCATATCTCCCACTTCAATCATGTAACTTTGCTTTGCACTTGTGAGTTGTGTAGCCATCCCCATGGTTTGTGGAAAAGGGACTCCTCACTCTCCCCCAAAGGTACTTAGCCTAACATAAAGCCAAAACGCGCCACCTAGGGTTTTCGACATGTATAGTCATTGTCGAGTTAAACTCGTACTATGATTACTATCCTCAAAAGGGTAGTAACTAGTAACATTCGATGGTATCGGCATCTTGGAGCAAATGTGCTATATACCAATGAGGGGAAGCTATAGCTAGCTACCTACCTATGGAAAATACCAACTTAGGGTGACTGATATTAGAAGATTCCTAGTGGGTCATTTTCAGAGGACTTGCATCTTCCATGGCCAGCCCACTTGAGAATGTTGGTCCGTTATGTGACAACAAAAGCACCACGGTACAGTTAGTGGACAGCAAGATACAGCCAATGGGCTGGTGACCAAATTTCTCACGCTAGGGCAAATTGGCCTTGTTGTTTGATGTTCTTGGTTGTATATATTCAAGATACCTACTCATGAGTCATGAAGGGAAAGCACTACGTATAGTTGCTGTTGAATTTGGCGATGGAATCTATTTTGTTGATGTGGCTTCAATTTTCAGGGAGAGTTGTTTTGTGCTCTTTTTCTTTTCTCTTATCACTTTATTCATTTCATTTTGTGATCGACGTGAGCGATCTTACGAAAATGGTGAGTGTTCGCCACACAGATTAATCTCTTGTCATACAGTTAAGGGTAAAAACTACCATTGGTCACTGAATAATCATATAGATTTTAAGTTTGTTATTGAACCCATTTTTAATACAACTAAACCATTGATTCTAACTAAAAGTACGACATTCATCACTCCTGCGAGTATCTATCTAACACGCTCATAATCATGTGGACTCGGAGATAACTATGGTAACGTAGCAATTCGTAGCTATCTCCACGGCATAGGCTAGCCTACTAGCCTGGACGTAACAGAAATTATTTGAGAATTCGAGGAACAGTTTGCAACTTTGCATGCCACTACCAACTTTGATTGACTGGTGCAATGATGATAATTGAGATAACGGAACCATAGATGTCAAAAAGCCAGATGGCATAGGGTAGCCTGGACGTAACAAAAATCTTAATCCCCAGACAGCACCGGAAGACTATTTAGTATTTACACTACTAGCTACCAGTATTAGACCAACTCCAATGCAAGCCCTCAAATTTGGGGATCTTCATCCCCAAATTTGGGGTTCATCCTCATTTCCCCTTCTTTTGCTCCAATGCTACATCCTCTATATTTGGAGATTTCCATTTTTTAAGTTTTCCATTTACTTAAAAATGTACTTATCGAAGACTTAATATAATTTGTTCATGTTAAATTTTGTATAGTTCGTCATCATTCTTAAATACAAATTTTCCGGTAGAAATTTTTTAAATTTTGAGACCAAATTTTTGTTGACAAAAAATGATTGATCTAATTTGGGTTTACACACAACACTTGAAAATTATTGATCTAATTAAACCCCTAACTAATCCCCTAATTAAACCCAAATTAACCCTTAAAATCTTAAAAAGAAAAAGAAACGCCACGTGGCAGGCTTTGGGGAGTCTCTATATTTGGGGGAACCCCCATTTCCACCCCCAAATTTGGGGATCCTTTTGGAGATCTCCCCCAAATATAGAGACTCCTCCATTTATAGAGGCTCCATTGGAGCCAACTTTCCCCTAAATATAGAGACTCCCCCATTTATAGAGGCTCCATTGGAGTTAGCCTTACAGTAAACCAACTCTTTTGAGGAAGCTGAAATCGATCGAAGGGCGCGAAAGGTAATTACAATTTACAACAGCATATGGTATACTTCATTTTCATGGCCACAATCAAGAACTGGAACCGAAGAAAATGGCGAAAATACAACAATCACAGGCTGGGATGGTGCTTGTGTTGTATGTTAAGAGTATTGATGTCTGGTAAGCAACAATATCCTTCTGATAAGGGGTTGTGTAATAATTGTTACCCCTACCTTACACTCTGAAGGTGGCCTTTTCCACATTTGCAGCTGTGAAAAGGTATTTCGCAGCATACCTGCACAGGTGGTTACTCAGCACCTGGCTCGGGAACAGCAGTTTTCTTGTATTCGGGCTTAAGCTCGTAGGTCCCTTGATTCGAACCTCTTTTGTTGTATACGCAGAGCTCATTAAGGATCTCTTTCAAAAATTGCTAGCATCCAAAATCAGATCCCAAAGTTCAGCACACAAGTATGAACTAGAAGGATTGGAACAACCAAAAGCTTTGGCTAGTTAACAACACAGGTTTAAGAAATGGAGTGGGGGAGAGAAGCTTACTGCGGGTTGATCTGTCTCTTGTACAAGCTGCTTCAGGGCCCAGTTAGGTTGTTTCTCAAATAGTTTGAACATTATATCCTCTAGTTCACCACGGTCCCTCCTGGTTCTCTTCACCTCAGTTTGCTTCACCGGTTGAGGCTTCTTTTTCTCCTGCTAACAGATTAATTGCATTGGAGATTTTGATGTTGATCATTGGTTTTTTTAGAACATTAGCTTGGAACATTTAACTTAGCAAAAGGATGAGATAAATGGATCTGTAGACAGCACGAAGAAAACATTTATACCTTGGAGTTCGATGACATCAAGCCCACCATTCCAGGCATAGGTCTCATATGCATTCCGCGGTTATCATCTATCACCTTATTGTACGAAGCATAAGTATCACATTCATAAGCAGCCAAATTAATGAGAATATGAAGCCTCACTTCCAGTTTAAGAGGGAGATGCTATGATACCTGTACTTGCCTAGTCCTGATCATTGATTTATTTGTCCTCTCACGACATAACCGGCCATACTCTTCAATGTTTTCATTATGTGGCTTCAGGTCAAATTTATGATCCACTTTGCCTTCAACAGCAGCCTTCCCTCCTACACCAAATTCAGAAGATTGAACTCTGAAGTACTTACCAGAATCCAACCACTTACATTATCTCTGCTATCTACAGCACTCCAAAATACAAAATACGCACAGAAAGCCGGATGCAATCGTCCAATTCAACATTCGAAAAGAGAGGTTCACCTGTATTTGGCTCAGAAAATATACACATAGGGACAAAGTCTTTAGTCATATTCAAAGAGTAGCTCTTTGGTATGTTCTCATTCTCACTCTCGGCCATCTCCATCTTGAACTACACATGAGATAGGGTCCAAGATAGGGTCAGTAACTACTGGTTACTGACCCATCAGTAATCACACGGGAGCCGTCGATTTGGGAATGGAGCAATCGTGTGGCTGGGCTGGATGTGGGGTGGGGAGGGGCATTTTTGTCCGTTTCGTATTTTTTATTTTTTTTATTCATTCCGCATTTCAATGACTAACTTTTCAATAAAAGAGAGAGAATGGCATTTTCTCTGCAACTCAACTTTCTTCCTTCTCTCTTACTTTCTTTCAATCTCTTTCCAGATCTTTTCTCTTTCTCTATTCCTTCTCTCTTACTTTTTCTTTCACAATCTCCTTTTCAAATTTAGATCTGCTCTCTTCCTTCTTCATTTTTTTCTCTAGCAATCGACGAACAAAAATTATAGCCACTCTCTTTCATTGCATTTCTTCTCTTCATCAACTCGTTGGCCTCAATTCCGATCTTTCTCATTTTTTTGGCATTTTGGTGTTCTTGATTGAGGAAGAGGAAATGAGAGGCATCAAAACACGTTTTTTTCTCTCCCTCCTTCTGTTTTTTTCCTTTTAGAAAATATATATTTATATTATGACTCTATACCATATGATATTGGGTGATAACGAAATATATATTGATATTACCACACTATACCCTATGGTAATGTATGGTATTGCGTGGTAACGAAATATATATTGATATTACCACTCTATACCATATGATATTGTGTGATATTATCATACTATACCATATGGTATTGTGTGGTAACGAAATATATATTGATATTACCACACTATACCATATGGTATTGGGTGATAACGAAATATATATTGATATTACCACACTATACCATATTGTATTGGGTGGTAACGAAATATATATTGATATTACCACACTATACCCTATGGTAATCTATGGTATTGCGTGGTAACGAAATATATATTGATATTACCACTATATACTATATGGTATTGTGTGATATTACAACACTATACCATATGGTATTGGGTGGTAACGAAATATATATTGATATTACCACACTATACCATATGGTATTGGGTGGTAACGAAATATATATTGATATTACCACACTATACCATATGGTATTGGGTGGTAACGAAATATATATTGATATTACCACACTATACCATATGGTATTGGGTGATAACGAAATATATATTGATATTACAATACCATGTGGTATGGTCTTATTTAATACCAGTCAATACCATATGGTATAGACTGGTAATAACTGGAAATTTTTTTATGTCCAAAAAATATCAAAGTGGATATCATTTTGAAGGGCATAATTAATCTGATCTAACTGTGCAAAAAAAATGAAATTCTGACTTAAAACGAGTGAGAAATCGTCCGTTAAAGATTAAGAGAAGAAAAATTAAAGCTTTTTCAAGGAGAGAGAAGAAGGTGCTTATGTGGTCCGATCAAAAGTCAGCGTCAGTATTAAAATAAGTGTAAATGCAATTTTACTTTACTGCCCTTCCGCATTTAATTTAAATAAAAAAAGAGGACTGACACGTGGAGATCAGAGAAGGAGTTACTGATGGGTTACTGACCCATCAGTTACTGACACGATCCGCTCCCATGAGATAGTATCAACGTATTTCAGTGAAACTTTAAATCAATCCGTAAAGTAAAAGCACAGAACAGAACTGCTGAAAGCCTGACACTAATAGGAAAAGGATAAACTTGTGCAGACAACACAGCCATATATAAGAATAAGACACATGCTACCCATATCCGAGTCTATTACAACCAGCAGACAGTCTAGCAACCGGCTTAGATTACATCCCCGTACATCACCACCTAATTGCACCCGCTCTTAGATAGCAGGGTCATGGAACAATAGTGCGACGCCATACAAATGACTGAGCTACTGATACCACAATAGATAACCAAAGAAAGACAACTTCTTAGATAACCAAATGACCTGAGCAACCGTACAGAGATCGGTGAATGTCAATTGCCAAATGATAGGCAGGAAAGCTCTCGAATTGTCACAAATCATAAGCCTAAACAAGAACCAAACATTATCAAGCCTAATTCTGCAGCAATTGTAACTCCTTCAACAGAAATAAACCCTCAGAAGTTCCAAAACAGTAACCTAGCACTAATAATAGCAAGGCAAAAGCGACATCGCCAGAGATGCAAGCAAGCAACCTAACTTCAGCTAAATAGCTAGGGTTTCCAGATGAAGAATAAGCTCGAGCTCCAGTACTCGAACGCAAAAGCCTAATTTCAACAGATCCACAAAACCCGCAGCAGCAGCTGCCGGCAAAAAGAAACCTCCAAAATCAAAAGAAGTACCTGAGGAGGCTCGTCGGGCTGAAGAGGATCGAGAGAGACGACGACTTTCGCCACCGGCTGCGAATCGGAAGCAGCGGCGTGAGCTTGCCATGACTTCGCCACCACCAACGGGCACTTCATCAGCCACACCGCTCTATCCGCTTTCGCCGTCTCCAACACGCCGCCTATCGTTGCAGCGTTTGCGCCGTCGTCCACCGTCTCCGTATACTCTCGCTTCCTGTACCGCGACGAATGATGTCGTTCTTTCTCCATTTTACTGAATTCAAGTTCTCTCTCCGCTTCGTCGTAAAGCTTCTCCCTTCCGCCAAGTCGCTCCCCCGGTCTTCTCCACTGCTTTGAATTGACGATGTCTGAATTTCGCTTCACCTCAGGAGACTATAGTCTAACGACTGTCAAAAACGCATAACGGCAAATATTTAAAAAAAAATCCAATTAATATTGGGCCGAACTCGGAAACCGCTTCAAGTTTACAGTATATATACGGCCCAGAATAACCAAGATCAAGGCCTGCAGCGTCGCTTAAACGCTTCATTTTAATTCAATTATGCGAGCCAAATTAGATTTAATTAAACTAGTTGAAGAATTACTGTCTAATTTAATTGAAATGGATATAGATCTGAAAGGAAATTGAGTGTTTTTCCATTGAAATTTCGATTACGATTACAACTTTTCAACTACTAATCAATACACAGACATAACCACAAACAGCTAATTCTGATACCGAAACGAACAAAGCGATACGATAGAAAATAAGCCTAAGCCCTTTCGCCTCTGATGCGGCGGGCGAGCTGGATGTCCTTGGGCATGATGGTGACTCTCTTGGCGTGAATGGCGCAGAGATTGGTGTCCTCGAACAGTCCGACGAGGTAAGCCTCGGCGGCCTCCTGAAGAGCGGAGACGGCGCTGCTCTGGAAGCGGAGGTCGGTCTTGAAGTCCTGGGCGATTTCCCTGACGAGCCTCTGGAAGGGGAGCTTGCGGATGAGTAGCTCGGTGCTCTTCTGGTACTTCCTGATCTCCCTCAGAGCGACGGTTCCAGGCCTGAAGCGATGGGGCTTCTTCACGCCGCCGGTGGCCGGTGCGGACTTGCGAGCGGCCTTCGTCGCCAGCTGCTTCCTCGGGGCCTTGCCTCCGGTGGACTTCCGGGCAGTCTGCTTCGTGCGGGCCATTGCAGATTCAGAGGATCGAAGGAGAGTAGAATAACTAGATCTGGAATTTGGGGGGATTTAGGGTTTGAGAATTTGAAGGCTTGCTAATGGTGAGGAAACGATGATGGAACTGGGGATGGATTTATAGTTAGATTGGATTGGGAGAAGCGGGGATTTGAAAATTTTCAGCCTTCGTGTTTTTTTTGGGTGTGTAAAAAGGCGGGATCTGTGGAGAATTCTGGAGCGTTGATTAATGAGGAATCGACGGTCGGGAACGATTAAAATGCGAGTGACGCGGATCGCTAACTGCGAGCGGGAAATTGAAATTTTGTGGGCGGTGAGGGAAAGGGGGATCTGGACCGTAGATGGAGAGTGTATGGACGGCTGAGAGTGAGTTGAAACTTGTGACACGGATCGTCTCATTTTGAACGAGACTCGCTTGATTGGGTTTAATTAGTGAGAGTCCAATAGGTAGCCAGCCATCTGTCCGTCCGCTTTCTGTCTGAGATCGGAAGCCCATTTTAGGATTTGTTGGACCAGCCCAGAAATAGTTCTACAATTTTTTTGTAATATGTTGGGAAAATGCATCTCTAGAGTGAAAACTTTGGCTCATGTGATAGTCATAGCATTTTTTTCATAATGCTAAATTTGGTTAGTTGTTTCGTGCATAAAACAAAAATATAGAAGGAAAATATGGAATAAATTTTGTATATAAATATAATTTCTCAAAAATTTATTTGTGAAATGTTATTTTTTTTAATTTGTCTTAATATGACATGGTAGGCAGATAGTCGATTTGAAACTAATGTGACAGTTACTTGAACTTTTCGTTAATGAAGTTATTGTGACTTATAACGTCATTAATATATCTGCCAAATAAAAATCTCCAACAAAAAATAATTGGTATATCTCTCCCTTTTATTCCTTGTTGCAACATATTTATATGATGACAACTGATGATACAATATCATATGACACCATTTTTAATATCCAAGAGATGGAGGATTGGTGATTTTGTGCGACGTATTAACAGTGACATTCTTAACATTAACATCATCAGCACAAACACACTTGTGTTTCTTACAATCACAAACTTTGCACTTTCCAAAATCCCAACATATCGATGTAAGCCCAATTCCCGTAGGTCACTAGGGAATAATTGTGGCCCAAGTGTAATTATTATTTAATGGTTTAATATATAAGGTAAATCCTATATTGATTAGGTTAATGATAGGTAAATTCCTAATATACCCTGATGGTGGGTCTATATAAAGAAGCTCTAGGATTGGTCCTCTCTCAACCCATTACGTAGAATTTCTTAGCCATCACAGAAATCTCTAAACCTAAAACCTAAAGGGGTCAAGAGGGAGAAACTCAATTCCGGTGATTACTACTCCAACGCCGCCGCCGCTCTCGTCATGGATCGAGGTAGGTTTACCCGATCTATTATCGATTCGTGAAATCATCTAATTCTAAGATCCATGCTATTATGATTTATGTTTACATGTGGTATCAGAGCCTGAGGTTTACATGAATAGATGATTTTCGCTTACGTATTTTATTTCCGCTGCATCTGTGCGCCGAGCTCTGCGTATGAGAGCCATTTGCTTCGACTGTAGAGTTTCAATTATGCTTGTCGAATTCCAATCTTGCTTTGTTAGGGTTTCAATTCGGCTGTAGGGTTTCTATTATCGCCATTCTTGCTTTGTCGTTTATGTGAGTGCAATTATGCTTGTCAAATTCCATCAGTAGAAACAAGGTCTGCGTATGCGAGAACCATTGCCATGCTAATTATATTCAAGGCCATTATATTCACAATGGCTGCGTATGCGAGAGCCATTATTCTCTTTTCCCCACGTTGCTATCTATTTTTCCCTGATAATTAATTTGATCAGTAGGCTTGATGATTGATCAGTTAAGTAATTATTATAATAATTATGTTATGATTAATTTGTTGATCAATTGCTTTGACTTGAGTTAAATTTTATCTTTGATATCTATGTTATGATTAATTTGTTAGTCACCAAAGTGGCCAAATTAGAAGATTTATAGATATCAAGTTGAATCAAGTTCAACTACTAATGTTTATGTGATGCTTTAAAGTTGAAGTTCGTGATTATAAAATATTTTCGAATCGCCCAAAGGTTGATTGCTCGTTTTATAATTCATGAACATTATTGTGGTAAATTGATGTGCTTGGTTAGATATATTTAGTATATCCAAAGATTGCAAGTATATCTAATTTGAGTATGTCTATCACCAATTATAGGATTATTTTGAGCATCAATTACGATTATTTATCGCATATATATTGTTGTTTTGCCCAAAGGTAGCACCAATATATGTTTTATGTTTATGCTTACGAATCTGTATTATAGTTTATGCTTATTACCCAAAGCATTAATGTGTGAGTACATGTTATATATGTTTGCAGCATCTGTTCCTGTTTCTCTTCATTCGCAAGCCACGTCTGTTGTTAAGTTTAATGGCCTCAACTTCTCTGAATGGGCTGAACAGGTTCAGTTTCACCTCGGTGTTCTGGATCTTGATTTGGCACTCTTAAGTGAGAAACCTGCTGCTCTTACTGATGCTAGCAGTGCTGAGGAAAAGTCTTTCCATAAAGCTTGGGAAAGATCTAACAGACTAAGCCTAATGTTTATGCGAATGACTGTAGCAAACAACATTAAGTCAACTTTCAATGATACTGAAAGTGCTAAGGAATTTATGAATTCCGTGAAAGAAAGCTCTCAATCTGAGTCTGCTGATAAGTCGCTTGCTGGGACACTGATGGGTACGCTAACCACCATGAAGTTTGATGGTTCTCGTACCATGCATGAGCATATCGTCGAAATGACGAACATTGCAGCAAGACTAAAGACCATGGGAATGGAAGTGAATGAAAATTTCCTAGTAACGTTCATCCTTAATTCCTTACCTCCAGAGTATGGCACATTCCATGTGCATTACAATACTCTAAAGGATAAATGGAATGTGCATGAGTTACAAAGCATGCTCATTCAAGAGGAAGCAAAGGCTTAAGAAACCGGGAAATCACTCTGCCAATCTTGTTGGTCATAAAGGAGCTGGAAAGAAACCATGGAACAAGAATGGGAAGGGCAAGGAAGGACTATCAAAGCTTAATGAGTCATCTGCCAAAATCCACAAGAAGGAACCAAGTAAGGATATATGCCGCTTCTGTAAGAAAGCCGGACATTATCAGAAAGATTGCTTGAAAAGAAAGGCATGGTTCGAAAGAAAGGGTAAGCCTAGTGCTTCAGTATGTTTCGAATCAAATTTAACTGAGGTTCCTTATAATACTTGGTGGGTTGACACTGGTTGTACCATTCATGTTTCCAAAACAATGCAGGGATTCCTTACGACCCAAACCATAAGGCAAAATGAGAAGTTCATCTATATGGGAAACCGAGCCAAAGTTCCAGTTGAAGCTATTGGGACTTATCGTTTGGTTTTAGATACTGGTCATCATTTGGACCTTGTCAATACCATTTATGCTCCTTCTATTTCTCGTAATTTGGTTTCGGTGTCTCAACTAGATAAGGCTGGGTATTTTTGGAACATTGGAAATGGTTCTATTAGTTTGTTCAAACAGAATGTTTTATTGGGTTCTGGTACCCTTGTTGATGGTTTGTACAAACTAAAGCTTGATACCCTATTCGCTGAGACTCTCTTAACCTTGCATCATAATGTTGGTATTAAACGTGGTTTGTTTGATGAATCCTCTGCTTACTTGTGGCATAAACGTTTGGGTCACATATCCAAAGAAAGAATGGAAAGGCTAGTAAAGAATGAGATCCTTCCTCATTTGGATTTTACTGACCTTGGAATTTGTGTTGAGTGTATTAAAGGAAAACACACAAAACACACACTTAAGAAAGCAGCCACAAGAAGCTCACAGCTCCTTGAAATTATACACACTGATATTTGTGGGCCTTTTGATGTTCCATCACTTGGTGGAGAAAAGTATTTCATTACCTTTATCGATGATTTTTCACGTTATGGATATATCTATTTGCTGCATGAAAAATCTCAGTCGGTAGATACCCTTGAGGTGTTTATCAATGAAGTTGAGAGGCAATTAGAAAGAAAGGTGAAAATTGTCAGATCTGATAGAGGTGGAGAATATTATGGAAAATATGATGAAAGTGGACAGTGCCCTGGTCCATTTGCTAAGTTCCTAGAAAGACGTGGTATTTGTGCTCAATACACTATGCCAGGAACACCGCAACAAAATG